AGAGGGAGAGGGTGGTGGTGGTGTGGGCGGAGTGTGTGTTGGGGTGGGGGGTGGCGGGGTGATTCTATGGGGACATTGGAGGAAGAACAAAGAGCAGGGCCATGTGACTTGAGGTGAAGTCTTTGTGGACACGAGCATCTGCGGCACAGGGCCCGAACAGAGCTGCACGCTTTGTGAGGACAATACAGAGACACTGTGTTGTTTTCTGTGCGTGTGTGGTTTATACAGGCCTAAATAGCCTCCATTCATTGGGTCTTCTGAAGATGACTGGGTCTGGACAGGCGAGCTGCCCCGCTAATTACCATCAGTCATTGCGCTGGTTTGTTCAGCTCTGCAGAGACCTTTGTTGTCCTGCATTGTACCAGGAAGTGTCCAGCCCCATGGTGTCCGCCGGTTGCTTGCCGCATTAAAAAGACCAACAAGTGCACCCTGGAAGTAGTTATTCAGCCACTGTGATTTAGCAGATTTTATTTCTGAATGCTATTCATCCAAAACCTTAGAAATATTGACAATATAGAGTGCATCAAGAGATGAGTGGTTGGTTAGTTCAGGTCATAATTAGACAGCTCGCCTTTATCATTTCTTTTCAAAAGGTTTGTCTAAGGGTTTGTTTACAACCTGTCTGACTGGTTTAGATACATTCTTAGCAATGTTTCAATGTCTGCTCATTAGTGAGATGAAATTTATAAGCATATTCACATGTTTAACCAACTTCTAAACTGGCAATCTCCTCTACAGCAGTGATTCTCAACGATCAGGCCACAACCCAGTACAGACGCTGAAACAAATGTGTAAATGTGCATTCCCTTCAATTTTTGAAACTCAGTATCTACCGAGTATCTACTCTCTGCTCTTCCCAACCACATACCTCCATGGAGTATTTCTCCATTGTGTCAGCCACAAAAAAAGGAGGGATGAGATAAAAACAGAGAAAAGACTCACCCTCCGCCAGTTGCTGGTATCGATTGTTCACACTATGACAGATTAGTTATGAATGTGTCCTAATTTCTCATTGAGTGGTGAGTTTAATTGAATTATTAGTGATGTCTAAATCAAATTGAGTTTCAGTTTCACACTTCTCTCCCTCTCTTTCTCTCTCTCTTTCTGACACATTCGTCACAACGGCTGTAACCTCCCAAAAACACAGAGCCAACAGAGGAACCACCTCACCTGAAGTAGAATTAAATAAACAAACACATTTCTAACTTATTTTGCTTTTTTATTTTGACAACTTATCTTAACTAGTCCAGTATAATAATGGTTTTACTTCATACGCATCTTCAATGTATCGATTTGTTGGCAATGCGTACCGCATCGGCCTCACTGATGGAACAGCACAACTGGACTTTTAAGTGAAGCAGGAAAACATCTGGTGTCCCATTTGTTTCATATTCATAGATTCTTGATGCTTGAATAAAGGAGAACTATGTTGAAACCCCACATCAGACTGTAAATGTTGAAAACTTGTCTGCAGAGGATCTTTTGAAGTAGGCTGGGTGAGAGAAAACCGAGAGAACAACATGCAAACTCAGGAATCTAAATCTCCACCTTCTGTGCATGGCTTGAGACTGAGACAATACAAACAAGTCATCTGCCAAAAGACATCACACACAGTGCCAGAACACACACTGCAACAGAATTCCATACATATGCAGGTAGTGTAGGGGAGTAGTGTGACACACAATGACTCATCTCATTTAGCAGTTTTTGGCCTGGTTACACATCAGCCTTTGTAGTGGTCCACAGGGGATGATTAAGTGGATTAAATACTAATATTACCATAGTGCATTTAGTGAAATCATAGTCTTGGCACTTCCGCTCATATAGCTAGGAACAGCAGTCTCTTGAGAACCCACCCCCCCATATTACTCCCGTGGCTAATTTCAGCCGCCCATCTGCACCAGAGGTGTGGATTAAGCCCATTTGTCACTGTAGAAGTATATACTACACTCCACTATAAAATCCACTTTTTCAAGATTTAAACAGACAAGCTCTTTTCTCCTGCCCCCTCCCTCCCAGACAAGAGGTGCTGAGGTGTAAAAGGCTTCCTGCATTGTTGTGTTGAACACACAGGGAAGGATCAGAGCCTCCAAGAGGAAGGCAGGCTCTTACTAAAAATGTCACATCAAAGACACACCAACGTGCAAAACTGGTTTGCCGCCATTCATCCCAGCATCGGTGCCATGGCCCTGTCAGCGGGCCAAACTAGCATCAGGGAGCCAAGTGCCGACGCACTTAAGCCATCGGGAGACACACATATAAACATGTCTATACCGTATCTAGGTTAACTTTGTCTGGCCAATCTGCTCTGGTTGCTCTACCCTTAATCTCCTCCCTGCCTTAACACGGTGGGAGGTACAGCACATAATGCCATAGGATTTCCATTCCTTTGCACTGGGTGTGAACAATGAAGCTGGTAAACAATAATAAATGTGAGGACAACAATCAAAAAATAAATAAATCTGAATTTATGGTATAGCAACAAAGAATGTAAAAAGAGTTTGACCTATTTGAAAAGTTTTTTGAATTGAGGCGCCTGGTAATCTGTGACACAGTTTTAAATTAATTAGAAATGTAGGTTTTGGCACCGAAAGCTTCCACAGCCAGCTAGCTCTCAGTTTCCCCTCTTCTGCTAAATTTTGCTCCCACAGGAGTGAAAAAAGGGAAACAGAGATTGAATTCCTTTGTAATTGCTATTTTTCTGCCAAAAAATACATGCGTGTTCCTGAATTTAAATGAAAAATAATTAACTTAACCACTGCTGGACAGTTAACAAATTTAAAATGTGTAAAGAAAATACAACAGCATGCCAGGCTTAAGTGACTGATATTGTGTATATTAGGTTTATATTTAGTCATATTAAGTTTGAAATCAGTGTGAAACAAATCTAATTGTAGATGTCTTTAAAGTTTGTGTATAATTATTATTATAAAATTGTTTTTAGACATATCTGAGTAAACCTCAACCCTCTGTATGGGTGTTTTCCATGGCAGTGGTTGAGTGATGACATTGCAAGGTGACGCCCTGCTGAAAAACATATAGCCTTCACAATATTCCTTATAAAAGGTTGATACAATTCTACATAGTTTGGATGTCCTTCTTTACCAATCTAAGCTTTCTGCCCCTTTACAACTTCCAAAATGTGGGTTTGTATTGCATTCAGAAAGTGAAAGCTAGACAGGTTTGCTAACGTTTAAGCTGCAGTAGGCATTTTCTATTTTAAAAAAAGCACTAGGAGGAGCCAGAAGAACCAGATTTTTTTCACAGATTTTCTGTCTCATGTACTACTGTTAGAACACTGAACATTTCAGCAATATTGTAAAGAACTTTTTCTTTATAAAAGTTACCTACTGCAGCTGTAATGCTGATTGTATGAGACATTACTCTCGTGAATGTTTTTAAACACCTGCTGAGTCACTGGCATTGATGACGTGGCGATAGCATTTGATCAGACTGTAAGACTGTAAAAAACTGGCAGCAATGATTTAATGGACAGTCCACTTTTAAATTAGCTTTTTTTGTTGTTAGCTTGTTTGAATTAAAGTGCTATCAAATGATGTTTTTAGTGCCTTACCACACAAATATTTAACAAAAAATTACAGCACTGACATTCTCAACGGTACCAAAGATTCAAGCCCCCTGGACAACACCAACGTTATCTCTGCAGACAAATAAATCTGGTTTTTTGATGAAGTACCTAACTCAAAACAAACCAATGATAAGTGTTGATTTCTTAGAGAACATTAATTAGAATTTCAGTTGGACTAAAAAAGCATTAGGCATTTGTATCCAACAAACACAGATTATTAACAAGTATAGATTACACTTTAGACTCCACCCAAAGCCAGCATTGATCCCATACCGGCTGAGTTGCATTGCCAGGACTATACCCATTGATCAGCTCCTACTGGTGGGGGGGGTTGCAGGATCCCAGTGAAACCAGTTCATTGATCCAGCGAAACAGAGAGAGATAAGACAGTTGTGAAAGAGAACATTGATCTCCAGCTGCATCCAAAGGGCACTCCTGTCCTGATGGGTCGGGGGGGTTCCATCCCCCTACTCCTGCTCCCATCACTCGTCCTCCACCCTCCTCCTCCCACTCCTTCACTCTGCTCGCTGGACCATGCATCAGTATGACCATGTGTCGATCTCTCGTGTAAAATGAGCCTCCACCGGTGAGAGGCACCACCCAAAAACAGCAGCAACTGGGAGCCTTGTATTGTACTGCGCCGCTGCCTACACTGTAAAGCTACTGTACTCGCATCACACTGGTTTAACTCATCTCAACATCCACCGCTGGGTTACTTTTTAATAAATCAAACATCTGCATCAGCACTAAAATACTATGGAGTTCACTTGCCATCTCCTTTGCGGCTTGCTTGTGTTCCTCCCCACCCTCAGAATAAAAGAGCCACATGCAGCTACAGTGCACACACCGTTTCATCAATTGCACACACGTCAAACTGTGATAAATGAGTCCAATAGCAGTGCGGGGCAGCCGAGGAGTCCCAGCTGCCTCAGCCCAGAACGGGGGAGGCGCAGCCAAAAGACAGCCAGCACAGCCCCGCTCCTATAACCCCCAGTCTGGGGGCAAAGAGACATTCACATCAGGGACTGCAGTAAATATGTTACCACACTATACAGTAGCAAGATGGCTCCAATGCACCTCTGCCACGTGCATTACTGCAGGAACAGAGGCTCAGGGAAGAAACTTTTGAATTTAAATGATTTCATGAAATCATAAAATGATATGATAAATGATACAATACAATCAATGCAAGTAAATCTAAACCACAAAGCAGAACACTTTGAGCAAGTTCACCAGCTTTCCTGCACTCTGCTATGTACACAAATATTTACGTATTAATATTTCATCAATACTGCAAGAGTAGTAGTGGATGGGACATCCATACTGCCACTCAGCATCTCTTATCATCTCCCCAGCCCCCCTCTGAACCCCAAGGGAGAAGTGGCGAAACATTAGAGAGGGTGGACCATACCTGTTTGCCAGATGTATAGGGGTTTAGTTTCCGCTGCGGTTTGTGCATCCAGCTCCCAGATGGAAAGAAAGAGCAGTGCTATCCTCCACAGAGAGACTCTTGATACCCCCAGCGTCCCCATGGCTCTGCCGGCCAGCCCCATGGCCCCTGCACGGCAAGAACTGTAGTTCCCAATGCAGTGAGGAGGGGAAAAAAGCAAGCCTGGCCACGAGGTAGAGAACTGAACTGAAGTGTGTGTGTTTTCTGCTTGTGCTTTGTCCACACCAGTGCATCCAAGAAGAAGTAATCCCGGGCGAATGGGGCTGAGGTCTCCTCTCGCACTCCTTGTCCTCTCCGTTTCTCTTTCTCTCTTGGATCCTTAATGAGAGAGAACAAGGTCTGACAATAATAAAACAGGGAACAATAGATCCCTAAGCCCAGCCTGCTGCTGCCGCTGCTGCTGCTGTATGCCAGTTGATGCAGCGCCTCCCTCTCTCTCTCTGTCTCTCTCTCTCTCTCTCTTACACACACAGACACACGCACACACACCCACCCTCTCTAACCCTCCCTCCCACTCGTCTCTCATCCCCTTTTCAAAGGGCTCAGTGAAGCTGTTCTGCACTCCGATCGAAGTAGGCAGCTAGATTGGGCAGGTGGAGGTGTTTTTGGGTTTTACCCACTGAACCAGAATATTCTCCTTCAAATCCAACTTCTCTGAAAAAACTTTACATTTGTCTCATGTTTGTAACTGTAAACAGTATTATCCTCAACAATAATAAATACATTTCCTTTGGGAGTAAAACATGGGATTCCACAGGGTTCTGTCCTTGGTCCTATTCATTTTTGCATTTTTAGTATTTAGTCATGTAGCAGATTTTTATGTATGCAGATGATATTGTCTTCTGTATCTCTGTATCTAGCTATTTCCTAAGTTTCCCACCCAGTTGTCGCAGGGTTTGAGATGTACAATATCTTGTACAAGCAGCTTCAACAGGAGTCACACACTTGGATTGGAGGCCGCCATATTAGTAACTGAACATCTATGATTTCTTTAAAATTGCTACACTTAAATTTGTCCGTAATTGTCTGCATAAGCGGTCCCCTTACATGCTCAGTGACAGTGTGAAACCAGAAGTTGCGTTAGACTTTCTTTCTTGACAGGGTCGTAATAATGCTGTGATAATCTATTATTACCTATCATTTTAATTCAATTTTTTTGAAAGATAATGAGACATATCTTGTCAGAAAATGTAATCATATTACACATGGATGCACAAAATAGATTTTTTCAGCCGATTTTCAGCCGATATGATAATAGATGATTACCTGCTTCTCATGGCTAATACGGATAATTTTGTATTTTAAAAATAATTTTTAATATTCCATAGCTCTGTTCTAACCAAATCTACCTGATACCCCCATTGTTAACAATGGCCAATAATTTATCTGTCCCGATAATTATCGTGCATTCCTATATTACACAAACCTTAACTTCACTTCATTGGCTCCCTGTTCATGCCAGAGCAGACTTTAAGGTGCTTCTAATTACTTACAAAATGGTAAATGGGCTGGCCCCTTCTTATCTCTGATCTCATTAAACCTTATGTCTCATCCTTTGCTCTATGCTCTCTCAATACTGTGATCCTATGTATCCCCAGAGTCAAAAAGATGTTGTGCTCCATTCACCTTGAATAACCTCCCTGTTGACATCAGACAATATGACTCTGTTGAGGCCTTTAAATCCAAACTTTAAACTCATTTGTTAATTTTAATTAGTGCTTATTCACAGATTAGTACAGGCCCCGCACCTGATATCATTACCCTTTCAGTGGGTCAGTCTCAGTCTGAATGAATCTCTTTACCCTGTAGTCCATGTTTGTCCCGTTGATGAGAATAAACCTGTAAACTCTCTAATGCATTTCTGTAACCCTCCAAGCTGTGTGAGTTTTGCTGTTTGGGGGCACCTGGAGTTGTCAGCCTCCTGGATCCACATTCTTCATATTTTATAATCCTCAATTTCTACATAATCCAAGGTTTCTTCCATTTTTTCCCTTGGGGGAGTTTTTAACGTTGATTAATTGTTTGTGTATCTTCCTGTGTTAGTGAGAAATAACATGTTAAAAAGGATATCCAAAAAGTGTGGGGAAAAAAGCAAATGATGGGTGTGGCAGTCAGTTTGACCTTGCATGATATTCAAGCCCAAGATTCACCATTGAGTTGGAAGAGGTACTTATTATTCATGAGAGGCAACCACTGCACTCAATGAAAGCACATCATAAATTTGATCAGCGGCAGGTGGGTCAGTAAATCAAATGGACGGTGTCAGTCATCATGCTCCCACAAACCAGCCATGGGAATGGTATGGGTTTTTTAATTGATTTACTCTACAGTATCTGTACACCTTTGGGGCTAGTTCATTGCTATTCTCTCACTTGACACTTTTTGACACACACTTTTCCTACATTTTTTATTTCATACTGTAACTTCAGCTGGTGGCACCAACTACTTATACTTCTGTCTTTTTAACTATGGTCATTATTAAAGGTCAATAAGGATCAACTGGCAGGAATATAACATTCATAGGTATGTTTTCATTAGTGTATAATCACCTGAAAATAAGAATCGTTGTTTTCGGTTCCTCTTCTATGGAGTCCGCCATGTTGAACCAGAGGATGAGACAAGGGCATTGCAATCAGCACCGGAAGATGCCACTAAATACTACACACTGGACTTTTACACTTCACTGTAGAGATTCAGTAAACACAAACAAAACAGACGTATATAAGGGCAAATAAAAGCTGTTTTGATTCTATAGAACAATGATGAATAAGTAATGTTTGTGATTTTAGCATAAAATCAGACTTGGTTAGCAAGTTGCCCTGGACATAGATCCCTATGCAGTTAGCTACAATACTATGAAATAGTCCAGCATGTTAATTTCTTTTTTTAAAGTATTTTTTGGGGCTTTTATTGCCTTTTATTGATAGTGACAGCTGAAGATAGAGAGGAAAGGGGGGCAGAGAGAGGGGATGATATGCAGCAAAGGGCCGCAGGTCGGATTCGATCCCTGGGCCACTGCAGCAACTCCCTACATGGGTCGCTAGCTCTACTGACTGAGCTAACTGGGCGCCCTGGCCTCTGTAATATCTTATTGAACACTGATTTCTGAACTGAATCAGTTAATCGCATTGTATTTTGTCATATGTTTTTCCTCCCACCCACAGTCGTGGGCTGATGCGTTCCGTAGTTCTCCCTCCCTGGCGGGAGTGGTGTACGTATATGACGACCTGAGGAGACGCGGTCTGGAGTTCCCCATGACAGACCTGGATGCTCTGTCCCCCATCCACACCCCAAATAGGGTGAGACTGTCTGCAAAGTGAAAACAACAAACTAAATCAAATGCATGCACAGATATCTATCTCTAAACTGTACCTCTGACAGATTTCACTGTTGCCTTCATTTTGCAGAGTATCCCAGAAAACGGGACTCCTGAGACGACCTCTGTTGCTGCACCCACACAGGCGCAACCACAAGCACCAGCCAGTGTCCCCATTCAGAATACTTTACCTCCAGTCCAGCCCAGTGAGGGACCAGCCTCTCTCTCTGCAGAACAGGTACCACTGTCCGAAAACACCTGACCGGTCCACTACAACTACATTGAGCTGGTGAAGAAAACCAGGACTGACTGATAGTAGTGATATGCCAAGATCAATTGGTTTTCACGTTGACATGAAAGGATCTTTTTTATTTTCATTGTCAAAGAAATATAAAAATAATAATAATAATAATAAAAAGCCAATTCCTAAAATATAATTGCATTCCAGTCAAGTCCTACGCTAACATTTTTTTCTTTCTTATCTAGGAACAGAAGCTGCGAAGTGAGCTGGCGCTGGTGAAGGGAAATCTCACTGTGATGTCAGAAATGCTGAATGAGCTAACCCCTGGACAGAGCCAGCAAGATGATACAGAGCTGCTACAGGTGTGTGTGTGTGTGTGTGTGTGTGTAAATGTTTTATTTGGACAAAAGGTTATAGAAGAGGCAGAGATGTTGATTTTTAATTTGCTTTACTTTATTACACTTTTCTCTGTTTTGTTCATGCTGCCTGTACAACTGTGCTGTACTGCATGTACTGGCATCATGTTGTCAAAGAGTAAAATGCAGGAAACCAGTTATTAATGTAAAAGTAGATGAAGCAGGATGTAGAAAATTGGGTACACCAAAAAAAGTAGATCACACCTTGGGCTTCCATCAAAGATTAATGAATGAGTGAATGAATCTCTCTCTCTCTCCTCCGGTGTCCAAGCAGCAGCTGTACTCGGTGTGTAAGAACATGCAGACTCGAGTGGTGGAGCTCATCCCCCAGCTGCTGGATGAAGAGTTTATTGGAGAGCTGCTTGTGGTCAACGATGACCTCAACAACGCCTTCATCCGTTATGAGAGGTGTGCTGCAGCCTAATTTTGTGTTTTGGATTGTGTTAAGACGAAATTGTTAGTTTTAAGAGTGCAGTGTGTATCGTACTTATTCCATTTTCATTGTATTGTAATTGTGTTTCAGGTTTGACAGACTGAACAAGGCGCAAATGACAAATACTCAACAGGTAAGAAAGCTCTTGATCTCTTATCTTTTGTTCAAATTAATTAATGCTGGACTGCGTCAGAAAACTGTGAGGTGTAAAGGTTTTCCATCTTAATTTACAATAAATATTCTCACTCTATCAGAGCTCTACCTCAAGCCAGAGCCTCATCAACCTCGGCCCTGAGCCTTCCACTATCAGTCAACCTGCTGTCATCACAGCAACTAGCCAACCAGCAGTCAGCACCTGGGTCAATGAGCGGCATTCACCCAACCACAGTGAGATAACTTTGTATAACTACTGCTTTTTATGCGCGCTCCCTTACGACATCTATACGTATCAAACTGAAGACTTGCTTTGGTATTTTCAGGATGTTGAGAAAAAAACAGGATGCTGTGGTTTCGTTATTAGATATGTGTTGCTATGGGTATTTAGATTCCAGTATGGAGTAGGTTGTATTTCATTCAGTTGTGACTTAATGAGTTAATCCTCTGTCTTGCAGAAGAGGAAGAGGAGTTTGACATGTTTGCCCAGACGAGAGGCAGCTCTCTGGCTGATCAGAGGAAAAGGTGAGCGCTGCAAACTGGTGACGGATAGACACTCATCGTGATCGTGATTCTCCTACTACATCTTAGTTTTTTAATTTTGGTGCAGCTCTGACTATAACTGATGAAAGTGCCTCATCACTTGTGGTGTCTTGCTGTGGTAGCCTTAGGACAAGCTGTAAGAGATATCTGTAATCTTAAACTAAAACTAAATGCATTTAAGTGCATAATTGACATTACCATTTTTAAAATATAGTTGGATGAAATTCAATCCGACTGGTGAGCCTGAAGACATTTGCCACTAAACCTCCAGTGAAAGAAATCTACAGTTTAGGTTTGGCCTACGCTACATGACACTGGGCTTGTTAGATAAAATAAGAGTCTTTTCATAGTCCCAGAATGGGTAAATTCGAATCTTACAGCAGCAAAGTGGATAGAGAAAAAAACAGTATGAAAAAATATTATAATAAACACTGTACAAGAGAAAATAAAGAAAAAAGAAAAAAACAGTAAAAAAAGAACACAGATAACACAAATACTAGCAGCAGTTGCACATGGTCAATAGATTGCACAGTAATTATTGTCCCTTGATTGTTGCACATTGTTATTGACAAGATTATTATTGTTATTGATGCCGAGAT